ACCTTAAATGTTGTGTCTGCGTTTAAACAAAACGGGGATTTTAGGTAGAGAGAAATAACTTCTGTAAAACTAACTACCAAAGTCAGAGAAAAGAGGTGTGCTTTTGAGGAGACATGAGGAAAGAATTATGTGCCAGAAGGATTTTCAACTGTTTGTGCTATGCTAACCACTCTAACAAAGGATACCTTCCTACAAACCTTGTTTTGTTTATATTTTTAGCACACTATGTCTCTAACACAATAGAGGTGCATGTAAACTTCGCACTCATGAAAAGCGCTGGTTCATGCAGTTTGCAAGTCCCAGAAAAGAACATTTCAGCCTGGAGTGCAGAGCTCAGGGCACCCCTGGGACAGCAGGAGGACTGATGTAGGGACAAACACTGCTCTGCAACCCCTCTGCAGAGGTGCTATGCCCAACCGTCGCATGCAGCCTGGCGCTCCTTCAAATGACACTTCTGACGCGTACCCACTTGCGGCAGAGGAATAGATACGAGGTCCTCATCAGTGTCCTACCAGCTCTCAGCCTGACCTTTGGGTGGTGATGAGAGAAGGCCTGAGGAGAGTCTGACTGCTTTCTGTCAGAAGAGGAAAAAAGCCCCTTTGATCCAGAGAGTAGCTACTACCTGACAAGCTACTATTGAATTTTTGGTCATACAGATTTCTATTTTAATCCCAAAGTTTTGGACAATATTACAACAGCAATCTTAGCCTTTTTGCTCCAGACCTCTGCAAACCCCAAAGTGATTGCCTTGAAAAGCTCTGCAGGTTTTGCTGCTAATTCTGTTGGTCACCGTCTTATGCTGTGTAACCTTCTCAGTAGTGAGAAGGTTCGCAGTGTGTTCCACCACAACTAATTAATTAAAGCAATATCATGTTAAACACTCTATACAAACTGCTTTCAACTGTACACATCTTGATTATATTCAATGGAGAAGTGGTTAATCAGGCACAAAAGGATTTGGTTTTTGTTTTTTTTCCCCCAGGTCTTCAATGTTGCGTTCTAGACCTATTCCACCTACCTAGGGCTAAAATATATTGATATTACATTTCGCTTGTTACAGGCAATACAGAGTGCATTTTAAAGTTTGCTTGCAAATCAAAGAGGAAAACTAATCCTCCAAGAAAATTCTGTAAATGGAAATATCTTGTTTAGTTTCTACAAGATTATGTAATGTGCATAATTATCTGCCTGTAAGTATCTAGGAAAGTTTACAGATGCAGGAAGCCTTTTAAGAATGACCACGGTTTAGAGTTGTTCATCATAAATTCTAACTTGTTTGAAAAACTTAAATGTCTGTGTTTAGATCTGAGATACGTTACATTACCCGCATGGAAATGCTCACATTCAGCTGGAACATGGGAGAGGCACTTTAACATAGCAGAATTGTTACAGGATATTTACAATGGAACTGTAAATTCAATGTTAGAAACCTAAAAGCTGGCATCATGATGCAGCCTGAAAATACTGAGTATATTACTAATGTTTCACAATCATAGAATCATAAAATCATTATGGTTGGAAGAGATCTCAAAGATCATCAAGTCCAACCTTCTACCCAACACCACCATGCCCGCTAAACCCATTAAACCATGTCTCGAAGCGCCACATCTAAATGTTTTTTGAACGCCTCCAGGGATGGTGACTCCACCACCTCCCTGGGAGCCTGTTCCAATGCTTAACGACTCTTACAGTGAAGAAGTTCTTCCTAAAATATGCCTTTGTACACAGAGTTTTGTGGTTTTGACAGACTTTGGATTTCTGATTGCTGGTCTCAAATCCGCTTTTAGTCAAAGAAGTCTAGCAGTCTCTGTAATGAATGTAATCAATGAACATTGCAGGTTGCATATCCAGTGAAAGCTTAGAAAATCATATTTTCTGAAACTAGGTGCAGGTATCTTGCCATTGGTATTTCTGTGTGATCTAGTTGATTATTTATCTGTGATTCTGTACAAACACAGAAGCAGATTATTAAGCACGTGTATAATTGTGCCAAGTGTGACCTGAATCCTACTGTACACTGCACACCCCTGTTAGCAAGGTGTACACCACCCAATGGTTATACCTTGAAGGGAACAAAAGGAATATTCAGGAACATTTGATACAATCCTCACAATCCAATTATAATAAATGCCTTTAATAAGTGATGGTATTTCAGAAGCAATTTTCTAAAGTTGCTAATTTGTTGTATGGAGTAAATAGAAATTGTTTGAAGAGACTCATCAGATTTTTTTGTTGTTCTTAATATCGGACACCTATAAAATGTGTATAAATTACTAAAGATGCTGCTAATCAGAAACAAACGTTTTGTGAACAAAAAAGTTATGAAGTGAACTTTCTAAGTCATCTGAGATAATAATTTAACTTTTCATTAACTAAAGTTAACTAAAACCACCCAGGAGTTCCATTCCCTAGAAGAAATGTTGATTTATTCTCATTGCTCATGGAGAGTCAGAACAGGAAAAAAAATTTCAACGGCTCTAATTCATTACAAAATCAGTAATGGTTCATCTCCCATTGCTGTAAGTGGTATGTGCTGGCACCTACTGATCAAGGAAACCCTCTTTCTGCTATTTCATCCATCAACAGATTATCAATGGCTGCATTTTTCCTTGAGGAATGCAAACACATCATACACACGCAAAATACGCTTGATGACATAGCTCACGCACTACTAAATCTACTAAATGTTATCGCTGATAAAGAGCTTTCAAATGTCTGAACAACCGTTTATCCTTCGCTATGCCAACAGTGGCCACCACCATGCTACCACCACAGTGCTGTAACAACCCCACAGAAAGTGTTTCAGGCTCACATGAGCAGCATGGGGGGGGAAAAATAGCATACGAGCCACAAAAGCCTTGCCAAGACAAAGCCATGTTTCACCCTCCTGACCCGAAGGCACGTCCCAGGCTGGGCCAGGGCCGCAGCCCTTGGCCTCCTCCTCACCCCACACAACTGCCGCCATTTTGCAGCCAGCACTGAACCTCACACCTTGGCCTGCCCTGGCAATGCCTGCCCAGAGCCAGCATGGCTCCACTGGGCAACCCACTGCCTCACCGTGGTTCCTTGCCAGCTGCCCCATCTACAGCGGGGTTCACCTGGGTGGGACAGCAGAGGCTGTTGCCTCATGGGGCTGGGGTACCATGGTGGCCCTGGGCCTGCACAGCCAGCCGGCAGCACTCACCTCCCACCTGGGTCTCTGCCTCAGCTTCTTCTCTCATTGCCTCTCCTGCCACCATCCCCTGGGCCTCAGCCACCCCTCAGTCCCACCACTGCACCAGCCCTGCGGTGTCACTCACACGTCACCCCACAGAGACACCCTCCCTCCCACCGCCATGCCTTGGGGCCTGGGGCCACATCCTGTCTGGGTGCTGGGAGGGAAGGGGGAAGAGCCCCCCTGTCCCTTGGCTGTTTCACACCTGCTGGAAGCACACCCTCCCTGGCCGTTTTCCATATTCTCTCACGGTAACAAGAAATTATTTTGGTTTCCCCTTCTTTCCTGTCAGCTGGCTCCAAGGTGGATGTCAGGTGCCCCTGGCAGATTTACCCTCTCCTTCTCTCCCGCACCTCTCTACCACTTCACTCTTCCTATTTTGTTGGCCCCGCTTCTGCCATCCTGTGTGTGACAGCAGACTTGTTTTTGCTGGTAACCCTGTGTGGCAGCATCGACAGAGGGTTAAGGAGGACCCTAAATCCACTTAATAACTAGTGACAGGACAAGAGAGCAGCCACAAGTTGCGCCACGGGAAATTCAGGTTAAACATTAGGAGGCATTTCTTCACAGAAAGGGTCATCAGGCATTGTAATGGGCTGCCCAGGGAGGCGGTGGAGTCACCATCCCTGGAGGTGCTTAAGAAAAGACTGGATGTGGCACTTAGTGCCGTGGTCTAGCTGACATGGGGGTGTTAGGGCAGAGGATGAGATTCGATGATCCCAGAGATCTCTTCCAACCAAATCAATTCTGTAATACTCCTTAGCATCAAATTCAACTGCTGTAGCATAGCTGACTGATGCATACTCAGACTTCTTGTTTTCTTTTTCTCTGATTTCATTTCTCTTTTTTCTTTCTCAGTAGTTAAATCCCAACGGCCAGGTACCACAGTGGAGGCGAAGTCTGGATTGTAAGACCTGCTTATCATGCGAGGCAGCAGTGCCACCACCAAGCAGCCGTCCTGCGTGTCCGTGCTGCCTGGGCGCAGGTGACTTTCCAGCAGCAGCACCGCAAGTCTTGGCCAAGGCGCACTGGCGGCACCCAAAGCCATCCGTTTCTGGCAGTTGGCTGCTCTGCTCTAGCAGCTCCCACCCCAGTGCACTGGCACTCGCACTCAGATGAGAGACCAGCATCGACCTGCTGCACCCACACCAGCCTCTCTCTGCATTGCCCATAGGCGCTCGCTGCACCCCTGCTTTTATATACGTACCTGCCTACACACACAGGGCCAGGACCTTTTGTGTTTCCCCACTGTCAATGCTCTTGAGATCAGAGTCTAGAGTATTGAAATTAAAGATTTTTTCTTGACAACATTCAGCTCCTGGTCATTGAGAGACTTTTCTTGACAGGTAAATGCTGCTCCTCCATGATTCCCTTTCGTTGGTATGAGCTAAATGCCCACCTACTTCCAGCAGCCTGACCCTGTCCTCTGCAGTGCCTGGTACACTCTCTACCCAAAGACATCCATGAACAGTGGAGAAATTTTCTGTTGAAAATAATTGTTTTGTTAGTTTAACTCCAAAATGATGACAGTAAAATCTCATACTATCTTTAATGTTTTGTTTTGTTTTTTTTTTTTTTTTACAGAAAAAGGGCAATATGAAGCAATTACTGGGGAAATATGTTTAAGATTAGAACCATAAAGCTCACGACAAACATCTCTGAGAATCTTCCAAGTTAGTCCAGTGAATACTTTTTGTAAGACTATTAGATTAATATACCTCCAGGAACTACTTTCGCTCTCACTGAGGATGTTTAACAGAAGGAGTAAGAATCAGCACAGCAGTAATTAAATACTTCTGTTTATTTTTTCTTTCATACAGTATTTCCTTCCCCACAGATGAATAAAAAGAATCACTCAGAAGACATTTTTTGAAGAGCCATCAAAATACAGTGCTACTGAATCTGCTGCTTCTTTTGGAAGACAATCTGCTTTAGTATTATTCAGAAACAGCACTGCTGCCTACAGAATAATGAACATTTTTTCCCCAATCTAAATATCCGTAATGGATCCAAGGCACATAACATTGTATCGATTTTATGGAACAGTTTTAACCCAGTACTCAATAGAAATATACTGCATCAAAAGGTATAAGAATTATTATTTGAAAAGAAAGTTTATTAATGATAAGGGCAGATTATGCTATTGCCAGAAGGTGAATTATTCTACTGGTGATGATTAGAGTTTTGATTTCTTCTGAAAGAAGCTGACAATAGCATTTAAACATTCATCCGATAACCACCTCTCCTTCAGGACTTCACACTCTTTACTGTTGACTGCATGGAGCTTCTCCTTTTCCATACTTCTTAACAGTTGCTTTGACACTGCTAAGGACTGGAGGAGAAAGAGAGGAACATTAGGAAGTTATCTTTTCTATACCTTAATTTAACATTTCAGAAAATAGCACAATAAACACACTGGAATTCAAACCGAGTTGTATTAACATTGTACTTTTTAGCTTTTTAGTCAACCTTTTCGCTGCAAGTAATTATTGCATTTAACTACTAAGACTGCTAAAAAGGCAGAGGAGGTTCACAGCGAGTGAAACAGCAGTTCACTAAGTGCTCATAATCAGAGTAAATGGGCATAAGAAGTGAAATCTGTTCAACTGTCTGCAGAGCCAAATGCAACCTATATTACGAGCAGTTGGCACAAGTGTTTCCTCTTGTCCAATGTAACATAATACCACTGTGGCTCAAGTAGCTCTGCAAAACCTAAACTTGTGAGCAGGATGACTAAATTCAGCAAAAAGTAAAGCCACTCAGCATCATCTTGAGCACCCACAGCGCACACAGTACAATCAATATTGTAGAACCAGTGATAAGGCTCTTAAACCTAAGCTATTGCCAAAACAAAAATCTAAGAGAAGGCATCCAAGGCACGCACACAGAGACTGCAGGTGGATTAATTAATTTTTAAGGCTTTTCAGCCATTGAATCTCTGTGTACAGTGCACTGTCTTAGATTCAGCCAGCATAGAAGAGAGGCATCTGTTTCCCAGCAGCAGAGGGACAGGGACAGATCCGTGCTTAAAGGAAAATATATCGTGCCTTGTTATTTCAATTAAGGATGAAGTGAAACCAAGCAACAGGATAGGTTTGGCAGGAAGACTGGGAATGCTACAGGCTTACAAGGTGGAGAAAAATTTAAAATACTGACATTTTTTGGGAGGCTTGCATAAGCTTCTAATCTTGCCCAAACTTCCTTCTGAAAAGTCCTGTCGGGGAAGACTTCAGTCACAAGTCCCTGGGCGCAGGCTTCTGCTGCAGTCAGCTTTTTATTGAAAAGCAAAATCTCACTTGCCTGTATAAAGAAAACTAGAAAGTGTGATTGAACGAGATATAAGACTTGAGTAATCTGACAGGAAAGGTACAAGCTTCCAAGTCACATTTATTTTACTCTCTTGCTTGTTAATGGCTGCCCTCTAAAAAGAACACAGAATCACAGAATGGATGAGGTTGGAAGGGATCTCTAGGTACTGTCTAGATCGAGCCCCAAGCTCGAACTGCAGCAGGCTGCCCAGGACTGTGTCCTGCTGGGTTTTGAGTATCTCCGAGGATGAAGACACTTCCCCAAGGATGAAGATACATCTCAAAGGATGAAGACATCACAGCATCTCTGCACAACCTGTTCCCATGTTTCACCACTCTCACCATAAAACTATTTTTTTACATTCAGATGGAATTTCCTGTGTTTCAATTTGTACTTGTTTCCTCTTGTCCTGTCACTGGGTACCACTGACAAGAATCTGTCTCCATCTTCTTTACACCCTCCCATCAGGTATTTATAAACATTGGTAAGATTCCCCCCAAGCCTTCTCTGCTCCAGGAAAAATAGCCCCAGCTCTCTCAGCCTCCTCTCATACATAATATGCTCCAGTGCCTTCATGATCTTTGTGGTTCTTTGCTGGGCCTGCTCCAGTATGTCCACGTCTCTCTTGTAGCCAGAGCCCAGACCTGAACACAGCGTTTCAGCTGTGGTTTCACCAGTGTTGAGCAGAGGGGAAGAATCACCTCCCTCAGCAGGCTGGCAACGCTCTGTCTAATGCAACCCAGGATACCATTGGCCTTCTTTGCTGCAAGGGTGCGTGGCTGGCTCATGGGCAACTTGCTGTCCACCAAGACGCACAGGTCCTTCTCTGCAAAGCTGCTTTCCAGACAGTAAGTCCCCAGCATGCACCGGTGTGTGGGATTATTTCTTCCCAGGTACAGGACTTTTCCTTTGCTGCAGTCTATGAGATTCTTCAGTTCTCCAGCCTGTCCAGGTCCCTTTGAACGGCAACGCATCTGCTGTATCAACTATTTTGCTCAGTTTTTAATTATCTGCTGAGGGTGGACTCAGTCCCATCATCCAAGCCGTAATGAAGAGGTTAAATAATTATCAGACCCAGTATCAACCCCTGGGCTACACCACTAGTAATTGCCTCCAGCTCCTATTGTTCACCAAAAGTCTACAGGTCTTTTTAAGCAGAGCTCCAAGGTTGTCATCTGAAATCACCTCATCATAAACGTGCTTGTTCTCTTCCTGCAGTGACTCCAAGATTTCTAGAACAGGTACTGGTAGGCTGTATCTCACTGAATAGACTACCCTTGACACTTGGATGTTTACAAAGCACTTGCTCTACTCCTTACAGATTTAAACCCTGCTCAACAAAAATACACTGTATTAACACAGGCAATAGTATCTGATAAGTATTTGAAACTCTCCAGACTTTTTCTGTAGGATATCAAAAGAAGCAGAAAGTGAGTTATGTCATTCTGAGAAAAGAAAATTTAGATTCTGCTGTTTCTCCTTTTTTTCTTTTTCTTTTAATCACTATTATTTAGTTTCCTTATTTCTAGAGTAGACAGAGAAAATGAAGAGTATAAACAGAAGACCAATATGTATTACAACAAAGTAGATAATTTAAAAGATCTGGAAGTAAATACATAAATGGTTTTCTTTGCATTCACAATTGGAGAAACAGTTGAATAAAAGTTTCCCCCAAGGTTGGCAGAAGCCCTGCAACACTTGCTCCCTTGCTTGATAAAGGCAGTCTACCAAGATATTTCTTGCAAGTACTCTTATTTTCTTTTTTTAACCCTTCCTTACATCATTCCCCTCCCATTGCTGGAAGAAAGATACAACTTTTCACTATAAATTGTTTCAAGAAGGCGGAGGAAGCCATGAGAAAGAAAACCTTCACCAGTACCACAGAATGGTTTCAGAAGTGGTGACTACTCTGTTACAGCGCCTGTGCTGACACTGTCATTACATTTCTTGATATTTGGTTCAAAAGATACAAACAGGAACTTTCTCTGAGGACTCGTGCTGCGACTCCACTTGCTCTTACAGTTGGAGAGTACCCACATGCAAAGGTCAGATGATCCCACATACAGTGCAGACATTCTTACCTTGGCTAAGCCCATGATTTTTGGAAACAGGTAAGAGGAACACCCTTCTGGGCTCTGTCCAAGTTGACTAAATGGGCTGTGAAATGTAGCCTGGGGGGAAAAAAAAAAATAATAAAACAAAGCAAACCTTACAACAGAGCACCGGACTAAAGTACTAGGATTTAGTTTTCATTCTAAAGCTTCTACTGTGACAGAGTTCACCAGAAATACATCTGAAGTGTTACCATAATAGGCTTTAAACACCATCCAGTAACACTGCTTCGTCCTCTCAATTCACCCAAGAGCTGTCTTTGTCTGTATAATTCAATTCCCTTATCATAACAACCCCATTCATGAAGTTATTATTTGACTATAGCGTTTAGAGAAACTAATTTGCATGTGCAAAATCTCTACAGAAAGGATGTTCACACACAGCTACCCTAAAAGTTATTAAATACATAGCACAAATAACTTAAGAGGTAAACAGATTTTGCTTTCTGAAGGCACACTAAGTTTATGCTACTCCTGAAAAACTGAAGTCACTGAATCTTCTTTCCTCAAACCTTATGCAAATTTTAAGAGAACCTGTGGCAGAAATGCATCATGGGATCATACAAAACAATACTCTAACTGCAAGTTAGAACTGAACTACAGAATTTTATGTTTTGACAACTCACATCAACTTTAAGCAAGGAAGACAAAATGCTTGCTTTTATTTCCATTTAAAAATATGAACTGACACACAAAGAGTGCAAAAGTTGCTAATGCAGCTTTCACTGTAACAGACAGTAATCATCTCTTCCTGTCCTACAGATGGCCACACAGTAAGACAGATCAATAGACTTCCTAGCAAGAAAGCGACATTTATATCATTGTAAGAAAATATTAGAGAACATCTACCAGGATACAGGCTAGTACCGGTCATGCTTAAGCAAGGGGAGATTAACTATACTAGGGGTACAAAGTGGTACCTCTTGAACCAGAGCAAAACCCAGTGCAGAAGGCAATGTTAACCGATCACCCAAAATGCTGATCTGTTGTCAGACTGGGCTATGCAGTGCCCCGTAAATGTAGCTGGTAACAATCTGCTCTGGGAATATCCAGCTGAGAATAAAACCAGATCCTGGCCATAGCAAAGCTGGTCACTTCTGGAGTAAGTAGGCAATGGCTAAGGCACTCCAACCAAACTACTTGAGAATGTGAAATTACATAGTAATTTGGATAAGAATGACCTTACTGCATGGGAGTTCACAAGCCTGGAAAGGGAAGAACAACCACCTTTGAGAAGGCTTCAATAAACTTGAAGTTAATAGGAAAGTTCTGATGAAGACTAACCCAAATGAAAGGCTAAGTTAGACCCCACAGAAATCCTCAAAGAACTGTTACCAAGGGCACAAGCAAAAGCTGTCCCAGCGCAGGCAGGAAGGTACTAACAGATTGTCTCAGCTAAATCATAACCTCATCACTGACTTTAAATACAAGTACATAGAGAGTGAACACTACATCAGACAGCTAAGTATGAAACTAATATAAGCATGCGGAGACCTAAACACTAGAAATACAAGGCAAAAATATGATGCATTTACCAATGATTATGTATAAAACTAGTAAAAGGAAGTTCAAGTATGAATCTCAAACCATTCAAGAAAGAAGGATAATATTAACAGGACAAAACACTTAATGCCTATTTGGATGAAATTTCAACTAAATCTGTACTAACTTCTGGCTGTAAGGAGATCTTATGCCAAGGGGCAAATGATTAAAATTCAAAAGTCTTAATAAAACAGAGAGGTACGAGTAAGAAGATACTATTTAATACGGACAAGTTAAAGTTTGGCAGGAATAACTTGGTATACAGGATATGATATACGATAGGAACAGCTGTTCAACTGGCAACTTGACAGTAAGGGACCTAGGTGTTATAGCAGATCACAAGCATTTAAATCAAATAACATTGTGGGATGTCAAAACAGAAATACACCCTACAGAATCTGAAGAAGTTCTTTTTCTCTACTTTGCACCAGTAAGACATGAGCTGGAGTGATGTGTCCAGTTTGTACCACTATGCTTAAAGAAACACAGAACAACTAGAAGGAGTCCAGAGGAATGTGACTGCAGGCCACATGAGGAAAAACTGAATGAAATTTAGCTCAAAAAAAAGACTGAGAGAGTTGATGTAAACCTGAGATACATCTAAGTACACTAATTGCTAAGCACACTTACGGCTATTGTAAGGGAGGATGAAAATAGTCTGTTCTTTAAATTCAGGAACAAGAAACAATAGGTTCACCCTGCAGCGAAAAAAAGATCAGATGGGAGGGGAGGAAGAGGGAGAACCCAACAATTTCCTAGTAAAAGAAGCAATCTAGGAACCACAATAGACTGAATAAATCATGCAAATTATACAAGCATATGTCAGGAGTGACAAGGTCCTAACTGATCCTGTAACGGGACAAGCAGAAGGAGCTGGTCCCTTGCAGCTTTTCCTAAGTCTCACAGTGACAAAACCAATCCACCAGGGACTTTGAGGAAAAATCTGACACAGTGCTGAAGCAGAAGTCAAAATACCACCCATCACAGACACTTCTGCAAGCAAAAGCTTGCCTAAAATTAACTAAGGCCTTGGATTAAGTTCTGCATCTGTTTAATAACCTTATACAAATGAACAGCAGAGAACATAAAAAATAAGCCATACAATGGGATTCTGTGCTGTGCCTTAATGTAGGTTCTGGTCCTGTAAGTTACCTTAAAAGGAATCTTAAATTGAATAAATCAAAGCTTTTCCAAAGTTACCTTGGAACACATAATAGATAAAATGCCAGTTACTGCCCTTCCATTCCATAATAATCTTTCACTCCCCTTCCTGCACCTGAAAGGGGCCTTACAACCATCATTTCACATCAGCCACTCTTTACTGTACCCACTGATACAGTAAAAAGTTTCTAAACTGGAGTCAATAACTTGATAATCATAACTACAGCAGGGAAATTCCATGCATGTTAACCACTAGCTGACGCACTCCTGTGCTGGTGATTAATATAGGTGTTCCTCGACATGATATAAAAGCCTTTACACCTATTCATTCTTTTCAGTCAGATTACCCCAAACCAAATAATATTTGCTACAGAAAGAGACTTAAGACTGCCTCGGGATCAGCTTTGTAATGTACTTACCCTGTCAGAAGCATAGACAATGTCACACAATCCAAGGACTGTTACACAGATTCCAATAGCTGGGCCATTTACCACTGCAATTAGTGGCTTAGGAAAATCAATGAAATGATCTACAAACTCTCTAGAGAGAAGGAAAAACAGAATGTAAGAGACACATCCCAGTCCTTTTCATCAAATATAAACAACTTTCAAAACATGTGATTAGATACTGCATAACAAAACCCACGAGCTAGATTCTATGTATTCTATGTATATTTTTGACCCTTTCCCAAACAAATTCTGACAAAGGAAATAAGAACTATATGAAATACCTGCATTTCCTTACCAACTAAGAATCAAATGTATACATGTCAGCACAGCTTTCCTGCAATCAGGTTATGAAAGTGCTGTCCTCTTCCGCTACGGTTACTGAATTCAGCTCACTAACATGACCAGTCTTGTGCCCTGCCTATCCATCTGCCTATACATGCATCCCAACTCCACCCATGGGACATCCATTCCTTTCACAGATCCTGCTCTGCAGTGAAGCCCCAGCAGACACCAACATTGTGATGCTACCACAGCACAGAATTCCCTAGTGCTGTTCTGCACAGGTTTGAGAAACAGTATTTTCTTTAATTTGACAGCTACTTCTCTATCCAAGAAGTGCAAAATACATTCTCAAAAAATAAAATTTTTCGAAAGTGAACAGTGTTGTAGGAACTCCATTTCTCTGGCATTTCTGTGGATCAGTTGTAATGAAGCACTGTGCTTGTGTAATAGTAACAGCATAGCAAATAGTCTTCTCACAACAGCAAGATGAAAGACCATAAAGTGAGACTATGCATTGTGTTGAACACCCTACAAAACACTGCAGGCTGGAACGCTTGCCAGACACCTCTGAATAACATCTTCGCAACAGATTCAGACTGCATCATTATCACCTTGTAAGGGCAACTGTGATCCACAGACAGTCTGCCCAAGTAAAAGTTGCAAAACTGAGAACTTTACTTGCAGTTTGTCTTTAAAATATAAATAAAAAACATTGTTTACTTTTCTGTGTATTTTAGACTTTCCATCAATTGCAAGTGCTTGAGGAAGCAACCCAACTTGCAAGCATCTCTCAGATGTGATCACCACACACAGAAGTAAAAGAGAAGACAAAATCTCCTCAAATAGGGAAGAAACAAACCTGTTGTTTGTCCCCCAAAAAAACATTTCAGCCCCTGCATCAGATGATGACTCTGATTTCCTTAGCCTTAGAAAATGAATTAGTTTGACAGGTAGATTCAGACTCAAATATGGAACCAAGATCTCAAAATCCCTGGGCAATTTTGAGCAAGTTCATCACACCTAGTCTGTATTCAATTCTGTACACCTAGTCTGTCAGTGAAGGTATTTTGGCATGTCCTGCTAGCACAGACACTGTTGGATATTAAAAAATCCACAAACTTTTCATTGCAGCTTACAAACTATACAGTCAAAATCATGTTTTTGTCATTATATCTGCATGTACTTTGGGAACTAAAAAATAAAGTCTTTAGCATCACTGTACTTAAAAAGATTTCTAATATTAATCTCATTTCCTCATTTATTTCATACAATTACCACTACTTCTCCCACATGATCTTTGTGTTTATGCACATGGTGAGTCCTTAGACACAGTCATCTAAATGGATGTATCGTAGCATAACTGGGTCCCTGCTGTCATGTTTTCTAACAACGCCTGGAAATTATATTTTACCCATTACAGTAACTTATGCATATATGAAACCAAGATGTTCTACTTGAGTAATACTGCTCCATCTTCTGCCATCTTCTTCATTTCACCAGACTGGATATTAGTAAAATTATTCAGATCATTTCCACTACTATAGTAGTCTCCATTTCCTGCAGAAAACACATATGAATAAATGCATAATGGTTTCTGAGTAGCTAAGAGAAGAGAAGCTTCCATTTATTACATTTACAAAAGAATTTAATTCTAAGTGCCTAACATTATTAAGTAATTACAGGGACTGTCTCAAAGTACACACACTACATTAAAGGACATCTACAGTTTAAAAAAAGTTTTGACCAACAATTTGCTGAAAAACAATGGGTAAAAAGCCAAAGAATATCAAATTTTAAAGATCTGAGGGAAAAAAATGAATTCTTTTTTCTGTAACAGTGTCAAATGGAAAAATATTTTATTTCTTTCCCTGCATACTTGCTTAGGTTTTTTTTCTGTCAATTCACAATCATTCACACAGTAAGATGTGAGGATTTTTTTTTTAAACAGGAAAATGGAAATGTAAGTTCATGCATCTTCCTTCATCCCCCTTCAAACTGATGAAGGAGTCAAAAGCAGGTAGAATAACCCATTTAAAATGTGGCAGAAGTTCCACATTTTTTACGACCAACTACGGAAACGGTATAGCATTCTAAGGATAAGACTGACAGCACTACATTGAAATCATTGTACTGAAAGATGGATCCTTCAATAAGAAGCAGATAACCTGTTAGTGACTTTGATTTAATTGTTTAAATCATTCTGTGTTCCACTAGGACATTCACAGGATGGGAGGGACCTTTCACTGGTTAGCACATCCATTACTTTATGCTGCAGTGCTCTTACTAACTACATAAAATGGAACAGAAAGGTCTGTGCAGGAATGTTTGCTGTTTACTCCTAGCTATACACGTTAGACATTCCAGTTGTGTGAACTACCCTTCTCATTTTGTAACGGTTGTTGTGCCTAGTCATTGCTACTGAAAGGAAATTCAGCATCCTGGGAATACAAGGTGTTGGTAAAGAAGACAGTGGAGAAGAATATGTACACTATTTCCTCAGAAGTAACAAGTAATCAAGTTTAAGCCCAAATTCACCTTGCCTCCACACTACTTAGCTGCTAGCCAAAGCTCAAGCTTTGGTGAATTTCCTAAACACACATCTATCTGCAATGAGGATGGGCCAGGCAGGCAGCGCCTGCCCTCAGCCTTTCTGTCCCTCCTGCCTGCCCTTGCCACTGTGTTGTTCAGCCAGCATCAGAGACGGTCCAAAGGGTCCTCTAAAGAATCCAAATGACATGTCTCCAGAGCAGCTAGACTTCACAGGTTGCATGAGTTTGGCCTGCCCTTTCACACTGTTGCTGCAGTCATCCAGCTGCACACATCTGGTGACTGGAATGTATACAGCTGGGCCAGGCTGCAGGTTGCCTGGCCAATCCTCTCTTGTTGTAGACACAGAAAAAAAAAATTAACACAAAATATCAGTTTTTTCTGATGATCATAGGTAAACATGCAGTGTTAAACTTGCTACTGGCCATGCCAGTGCAGGATTTGAGGGGCTTGTTTCAACACGATCCAATGTATCACAGAGGTAGAGAAAACTGAGTAAGCCCATGTCAATGAACTTCAAAAGCAGCAATGAAGATGCTGTGGAGCAGATATAACAGCTGCTCAAAAGTAAGAAAGACCTTAGGACTATTCTATGTCTATCTTCTCATCTCAGAAAGCTGTTTTGATGCAACAGCAAGCTTGCTAAAGAATTTGAAACATCACCTTCAAAGAATTTTCCCAAAACACTCTGGAAAATATTTGGTCTATACCAGAGGAAAGAATTTCCTCACTACACAATTCTATCTTAGTCTAAATACAGGTAGATAGCTCATGTCAGTACTGTACTTTGGCATAATATAAAACAAATCTAAGAGAGGTATATGAAGTGTAGTACCAGTAATAACTGCTATGGTAGAATCATCTTTTCCAGCTTCTTCAAGTGCTTTGATAATTTCTCTATACATCTGCATTAAAGGAAAATCAACAAAGTATAAACATGATGCTGCAAAAGATCATAAAAAGGAGATTCATATCGACAACAAGGAACTTGAGAGACAGATTAACTACGGTCCTTTTAGGTATGAAAAAAATCTGCGCCCACAGAAAGTTAAGTACTACATGTGAGGTACTTCTGATTATAAAGACATATGCTTGCAATACTCAAAACTTCCCATGCAAAACTAAAGGACAAAATAAGGTCCTTTGGAAAACAAACATTAACTGGAAACAGCTAATTTTAAGAACTGAGAAGTAGTTTAAGTGGGCAAAACAATATGTTAAAGGATGAGCAGCAGTAGAGTGAAGTCCCTGTTCTGGTATCTTTGCAGCTGTGAAACAGGATGATCTTGATGTTTCCAACAGGATGGACTTCCTCATGAAGATAGCTATGGGAACCAGATGACTATTTAGATATACACATAACAGTGCTGAGCCAAAGTAGGCTGCCCACATGCTTTCGTGTACATAAGGCTACAGTCAAATCTTGTATCCACACAACAGGCTACTCTTCCTGCAGCTTGACATTTTGGTTTAGTGCAGACTGTAATCCTATACTAAGTTTGAAAGAAACCAAAAGACACAGAAAAGCCCAATCCATACAATTTTAGCTGAATGTTTTCATTTTGTACTGGATATTTATTCCTTAGGTTGTCATCAGAGTCAAGATAATAAGCCCTCATAAAAATCAGACCACTACCCTTCAGTGAGTTCTGCTAAAACTGTAGTAATGATTCTTTAAAAACTCAAGTAGCTTACCCAGGAAAGAAAAAATCATTAATCCTCCCAAATTAATTTCTTTACCTTATGGTTGATGGCATTTTTCCTATCAGGTCTGTTAAACATAATCTTTGTGATATTGTTTTTGGTGGTAACTAATATTGTTTCATAGCCATCATGCCTGCCCTCTTCTGGAGAAGCATCTTTCTTCTGGCCAGCAGATTCTGCAGAGACCAGACTTGAAACAAGTTCAGTATATTTCTGTCTGGCATTATCCTGTAATGAAAGAAAGGAAAAGGAAAAAAAAAAAATCACAGAAGATTATCAAAGGCTGAAATGGAAATGAGTTTGTTATGCTATTCATAAAACAGGTACCTGTGCGGGAAAAAAAGGGGGATTCAGGACAAAAGAAAAAAAAAAATCTCAATTAGAAAGCATTCTAACTAGGGTGAGAAGGGAAACATGCTGTATTTAAACACTGCAGATCACACTTAAAGTCATCTGGAAAGCAGCAGCAATGGATCTGCAAAATAAAAGTCTGTAGATGCTGGGATGACGACATTTATTTTGTTGGAAAAGTGCCCCTATCTATGCCTAAGATTATCAGAGAGACCTTTGTCATATTCCCAGCATTTACACGTTTCTATGAATCCTTTGTTTCTGCTTTCCAGTTGGACATTTCTCCAACAAAATAAAAATTTTTATTTTAGAGCACGTGTTACTGAAAATAAGAGTGATGAAATGGGTCTATGGCATTTTAAAATTGCTTGAAGACACTAGTTTTCATTTAGCACAAACATGACATGCAAAAGCCTGAAGAATCCTGCCTCCCTATTTTTACACTAAGCAGCGATTTAAAAGAATCATAAGTTCTTGGTTGTTACAAACTATTTTCTTGAAAGGATACTATACTTTGAACAATTCTGTAATCCATAATCTGTAGCACATGAAATTGTCTATTCCCTCTCCACTATAACTTCAAGAACAGATTCTTCTCCTTTAGTGTTTCTTGGCTATTCCTAAAAGCTGCAGAGCCATCTCAAAAAAAAAACCAACCAAACAAAAAACCCCAAAAGACAACTAAAAAACTCCAAAGCAACACAATAACGCATCATGTTCATGAAATTATGCAGCATGTTTTCCTTTAAAAGAAAAAAATGCAAAAAAACCCCCCTCTGTATAAAGTAATATCTTTGACCGACCTCAGAAACTACTCCTAAACAGCCAGCCTAATGCAGCAGTGTTTGTAAAGCTTATGTTTCCTTCATTTAGTGGTAGCTGAAGAAACTGTGGTAGCTATATGCGATGTCAGACTTACTACAGTCTGCATGAAAATAGAATCCTTATGTATCTTTGCATCTTTACTCTTCCTGCTTGCTTCACTTGAAGTAAAGATTTCTCTAAAGGTTATGAAAGGTATTAAAGATGTCAAGATAAGCTGTGAAAGAATGAGAGGCTCTCAATACACCACTTTTTTCTAGTCTTAGTCAGTGGCATAAGAAACTGACTTTTTAAAATTACAAAGTTATCAATATGCTGGATTCTCAGATTTGTTCTTTGTTTTAAGAACTGAGAAGCTAAATCCATCTTAAAGAGAACAACAGAATAGAACATCAAGTGAAAAACACTATTTTTATTGGAAGTCACCACATATATAACATCTCTTAGGCTGATACAAGCTGGTAGTAATAATGTAGAACGAAGCTTACACAGTAAAAAATCTCCAAACGTTGAAGTAGTGAAATGGCTGTAGAAGACAGTGCAAAACATTTTGGTGTCTGAAGCAGAGTCACTCAGCTAGCATGTAATATGTTCAGACATCAGCCATTCACTTACAGACCAGGCACTTCAAGGTAGAGTAATCTACAAAGTATTTAAGTGAAATTATAGGTATTGTCACCTGAGACAAATTACCAAGAGAATTCCACGCATCCCACTTGGCTTTCTTGACAAAGTCCAGCATACCTGGTTTTGGAGAACTGCAGGGACCTTCAGTAGCCTGAAAAGAGAGTGAAACAAACTTATTTAAACCTTTGATTAAAGTTCAGATGCCTTGGTAGAAAAGATGACGACTGTTAGGAATATTTACCTGATCAGGATACAGAATTCAGCCCTGAAACAGAAGGAATACCTAGTGGGTGGGCAGTATTCAGACAGTTCACATGCCGTAAAGTTTTCTCTGTCTGCTGTTTCCTAATACCGTGCTGGGCTTTCAGAAGCACCTAACCAACATGAGACACTAGGTTCCAAAACATCCATGCATGTTAAGTTCTCCTACCTCAAAAATTGTGGAGGTTTTATACTTAAAAAGAAAGTTAAAGACTTGTAAGCTGTGTGAACAAAGAAACCATTATATAGGATCTATTAAGTTGGATCTTACTTCAAAATTAGCCCTACTATGAGCAAGGGCGTTGGACCAGTTGAACTGCAAGAGTCCGAGCTATCCTGAAGTATTCTGTGATCAGTTTTCCTGAAGAAAAGTACATGATTGGAGAGAAATATTCCAAGTGGGAGGCAGGAAAGAAAGAATACATTTATGAGCTCATTATTATTAATTAGTAAAACTACCTGGAACAGTCAGGTGTCTTTGAGTTTTTATTTAAAGGAGTGATTGATTGCTTTCTTCAACATAACAAGCCACAGCCTGTACTGACCCTGCAAGCAATCTTGATCCACAAATACTTCTCCAAATACCAGTACAAACCCCTCTAAGGACTTGCAGCTATTTCTACAAAGGTCTCCTTCCATGCTGTAGTAAAGAATAACCTTCACTCAGAGTGTGGAGGAATAGTTCCTTGAATTTAAAAAAAAAAAGACTACAACAACTACACCAAAAAAAGACAGAAAGAAAAAAAATACCAGAAATCAACCTTCAAATGTTAACACCATTATCTTATAGGCCCAGCTGACTGACTGTAGATACAACAAATTTAAGAGGAAGCATGTGGCATACTCTTTTTTCCTAGGCATAAGTCATTTTCCAGAGCTGCATCAATATATGCTATATTATATGGAAGGCTTCACACAATGGATGTAATTTGGCTCTATTTCTTTGAATAAAGGTTTCTGTTCAAAGCATGATTTATAAGATAAAAGTGGTTTGGCTTCCCTCAGAATTTAGGCAGAGTTTGAGGGGCTGGTATATCAAGAACAGAATTTGAGCACTTGAAATGAAGAGCTTGTTAAGACACAATACATTTGAACAACCCCTATTTTAAGTAAATATTTTACAGGTCCATCCCCTCAGATTATAAATTCTCTTTACAAAACAAAACAAGTCAAGCCTACCTGCTTAAACAGAGCATAGAGCTTCAACTTAGTTTCATTCCCAGGGTCCTTTTTCAAAAGCTTCAGTTGTTCTTGAGCCTTTTCAAAGTGTTTCTGGCTGACTTGCATGGTAGCTGCAGTCACGTGCAGGTGAATTGCTGGAATGCAAACAGCTTGTGCTCGCCTGTTAGTAAGTGGGGGGAAAAAAAACCCATTACTTGGTTTTTGTGTCAGACTAGAGGAGAAACAAATATGCTGCTTTTTAAGACATTTAAAGTAAACATAAAACATTAAATATTTGTACCCACACTGATCAAAACAACACCAACAAAAAGTAAGATACTAAAAATTACATGAAAGTTGCTTTAGAAGTCTGCTTCAGCTGCAACATAATTAACCTTTGGAGAACATGACGTTATATCTGTCTAGTTTGTAAAGTGTTAGATTTAATGCGGCCAGCTAACAAAGAAACTATGCAGTAATAGATCACATCATCATATATAGACCGTTAAATGGCAGTAGTGGTAAACTAATGTTTTAAGAGACACAGAATAGTTTTATTAATGCTTTAAATCTCGTCCTCCTATACTCGGCACTGGTGAGGCCGCACCTCCAGTACTGTGTCCAGTTTTGGGCCCCTCACCACAAGAAAGACCTTGAGGTGCTGGAGCGAGTCCAGAGAAGGGCAACGACGGTGGTGAAGGGTCTGGAGCACAAGTCTGATGGGGAGCAGCTGAGGGAGCTGGGGGTGTTTAGCCTGGAGAAGGGGAGGCTGAGGGGAGACCTGATCACTCTCTACAATGACCTGAAAGGAGGTCGTAGCCAGGTGGGGGTTGGTCTCTTCTCCCAAGTAACAAGTGATAGGACAAGAGGAAATGGCCTCAAGTTGTGCCCAGGAAGGTTTAGATTGGATATTAGGAAAAATATCTTCACCAAAATGGCTGTCAAGCACTGGAACAGGCTGCCCAGGGAAGTGGTAGAGTCACCACCCCTGGAGGTATTTAAAAGCTGAGCAGATGTGGTGCTTAGGGACATGGTGATTTAGTGGTGGACTTGGCAGTGCTAGGTTTACAGTTGGATTTGATGATCTTAAAGTCTTTTCCAACATAAATGATTCTATGGTTAATAGCTTTATATGTCTATGAATTAAAACGAGTATGCAGCCTGTCTGGTTTTTGTGATCTTTTCAATTTTTTCTGCTTCTATCTAAAACCACTTCAATCTGAAAGCCTGGTTCCCCAATTAGGGCAGCATAAGTGAAGACAAATTTCAAACTGTGCTTTGGAAAAGGACAGGCTGTAAAACACTTGAAAAAAAGAGGTGGTCAAAATATTCTGGGAGAAGAACTTTCCACCAGAAAACAGGTAATTCCATCAAAAAAAACCTGAAAAACTCCAAACTCCATTCCAAAGAACCAAACCTAATCCAACTCTATAATGCTTTGTAAAAGCAGGTTTACTTCAACAGAGTTTGGAATCAAAAGCCACGAAGTCTAATAATTTTGGCTTGTTTCAATAGTGCAATAGCATGTTATCTCAGCTTTCTTTGGTTAAATTGCAATATATGTTAAGTATTTTTACTATTTTTAAAATGTTAGCAGTTTACATATCAATGTTTGTTCTCTATTTTAGTTAAAAAGAACAAAAAAACCCCAAGTTTCCCCATTCTAACTTACAAACACAGCTGTCATGTCAGAACATCATATACGATAGATTTCATAACCAGTCACATTTGAAAAATTAATGATTATCTCAAAAGTAGACTGTAGAACGCTTAATCATTAATCTGTTAACATTTCAGTTACAGAACCATCATTTAAAAATCATACCTAACATGAAAATTCTGTCTTTTTAGACACCTAATGAGAATTTTAGAGAAATTCTACTGCCTACTTCAAAAACATCCTCACTGCTTTCATCTCTTAAATAAAATTTATTTTCCGTTGCAAGCCTAAAAGTTGCAGGCAGGAGTGTGAAGAATGCCAACTGTGTCCAAGCAATTTTATTACTCTTTCATCTCATGCAGATAGAAGGTTTTAGTTGTCTTGTAAAAATGTTTGTAAGATCTATTGGGTTTTTGTCCTATTACAGTCCTTCTGTGTTAATAAAATCTAAGTTCCTGGTATTTTGGGGCTACTGAGTTTGAATGACAGACATGGAAAGAGTATTTTCTGTTATACATGGAAATGCTTTCAAAAAGAAAAAATTCCAGAATCTGCTTCAAAATCTTATGCTAGTAAAAAGAAATCTATCTGAACAATACAAAATGGAATAGGCTATCAAAAAAGGCTGCAGGAACAGCAAGTTTTTTTACTTTAAATTGATCAGCTATAGGCCTTTATTAACAAGCAGTGCACTCAGACAAACACGGGTTAACTATCTGCCAGTTTAACTAACATTCAAACTGATGTGTTCAGAAGACTGTGTCAAGAGTTGAACGAGTTTATCCCTTAACCAACCAGCAGGCTATTTAGCCAACCTGTGAACCTCATCTCCAGAATCAATAAAAGACCTTTGACAGGAAAAAGTGTACCTAAATGGACAGAGATACATGTTTTTTTAATACTGATTTTCTTTGATTAGCCTGTCTCAGAGTCACAGAACATGATGCTTACTTTCAGATCCTATCCCCAAACATGTTTTTAAAGTCACATTTATGGGAAGAAGAAAATGAGACTGCAGGAAGAAGAGTAGTGGTTTCTTTCGGTTTGTTTTTTTTTTTTTTCCCCATCCAATTTTGCTAGCTATCTTTGGAACTACTTGAATGCTGCTGTTCCCAAGATGATCCGTGTATCTGGTACAAATTTTTTTGTCAGTCTAGGCAGCAACTATACTGAAGTGGGTTCAATGTTTAAAAAGGGAGATTTGGGTTTACATCATGTTTGACAATCTGGACTTCACTCCAGCTTGGCTATGGTCAATATTATAAATAGGCTTTAAGACTCTCTTTTATATACAGTTTGATAGTGACCATAAATTAACAAGAGTTGAGGATGGGCAGTTGGGGAGAGGGGAATGGCATAGCAGCCAATCTGAAGGTATGTACACACATATACTCACAGTTAAGGCGTTTTAGCATTTAGTAGGTCACAAGTTCTTGTCCTTATTAAGGACGCAAAGTGGACAAGTTAGAAGAGGATGAGAAAACAACTAGGTGAATAAAAAAAATCTGGCTGGGGAAAAGTGGAATGATCTTTCAGTAAGTCCAGACTCAGAGCAACTTTCCTTTGATGTTTAGTTATACCCAGTTTTAATTCTTAGTTACAAAATGCTTGGGTAAAATAGTTATCTATCCACTTCAAGTACTCCATCTTTCATTCTTCTTTTCCTCCTTACCTACTGATTGGTACTAGGAGGTTGTGCAACTTAAAAGTCTGTAAGTAAAGGTGTAGCTCAGTTCTCTGCAGGGTATCGATGATTCACTCCTTTCTCTCTGCCTTCTGATCTTTAGAGGACATTTACTATATATCAGTGATGATTACCAACTGTCAACATGCTAAGGCTAAGCTCACTGCTACTATTTCTCTATTAAAATAACAAAGGATAAAAATGCAAACATGAAGTTATTTCACACTTTATTCATCTTGGGCAGGACCTCATTCTTCAGAGGGATACACGAATAGGAGGAACAGGCTCCTTGACCCCAAGTAGATCACATAGAGTGAGGAGGAGGTGACTTGTCACCCGTCAGCGCACACAACAGCACTGCTATCCCTGGGACCGCACAGTGAGGCCATGCCACAATCCCAAAGGCAGAGGCGCAGGAGAGGCTGCTGTAGCACGCTACGGGGACAGCCTGCTCGTTCCATCTGCTACTGCCTTGCTGTGACACTGAATCCTTCTTACTCCCTCACTGAGCAAACCAATGCCCCGTTTTAGTGGCCTCACTGAAACCACACAAGTCTTTGCCAAAACCACATAAGGCAGGAAGAGAGCCTGGAACATGACCTACAAACTACTGGTGTCGAACCTGTACTTTTTTCAATCCAAGCAGAAAAAGAAGCCTAGGAAAGGCAATCAAAACCCCCTCTGTATTCCCCCTTCTCATCTACACGCTGCAACAAAGCTAAATGATTTCCTTCAGAAAGCTTCCTCTTTATTGCCCTGCAGCCTGTGCACAATTAGCTGCCACTGTCCCCCTGCTACAAATTACCTTTGCCGTACCAGAATCCATGGAAGAGTGGTGAGGGCCCGGTGACCTCCCCCAGCAGGGTAAAAAGCCAGCTCCCACCAGAGACAGAGAGAAGGAAGACAAGTCACAAACTAGCAGAGCAGCCAGAGTCCACGACAAATGCCTGTGCACTCCTGCAAGACCTTTCACTGCGTACTTCGCAAGATGTATACTCTGAAAAAAGAAATAAATTATGGGCATCACTGCCCGAACCTGAAACGTCCACGCTGACAATAATTTCATATTTATTCCCTTGCCTCGGAGATCTCTTTGTTGACATTCAGTCATTCAGGCTATCTTTCAAGCCCACTGTTTGTCCTATTTGCTCTACCTGTTCACGTAAATGTCTCATCCTGATAAACATTAAACATAAGGCTCTTAATTAAGATTTTAAAAGTCAATTACACTGAAAGTAGTTCCTCACTGTTTACATGATTAGCAAAGACAGAAAAGCCTGTTACAGACAGGGGCTTTTATTACTGTGTAGTTCTGTCGCTTGCATAAGGACTTTCAGAGAGTTAAAAATGCCAACTTTTTGTAAAATGCTGGCTGCTCACTTTCCAACTTTTAAAGCAACTTAGCGGTTTCCCCATTAAGACTAAACAGAAGCCAAAAGATCTCTTTGCACTGGAAACATCAGACATGCTCAGCAAAAGAAAGGGATGGATATACCCGAAATCCATCTTCCATTTACTTAATAAAGGTATTCTTTTAAATGTTAGCAGATCCTGGGGAAATAAAGCACAGACAAAAGCTGTTAAAAATCCTATTAGGATTAAAAGCAGCGGGTGGTGCTAGAAACACGTGGGTTTAAAACTCCCGACAGAACTGGAAAATGCTCATTTCACACTACTGTAACTAGGTTTGGAGAGACAAGGAAGAAAAAGAACAGGAAGCGTTGTCAGACAGAAGCAAGCAGTACGTTACACTGTCACTCGGATGAATCCCCGAACATATGCTCAATAGAAGATGTGGATATCTTTTGTACATTATGTGTAATACTTCAGATAATGCATACGACATCTCTTCTTTGCCACGATCACTATCTCAACGTGCTGTGACCTTTTGCGCTGCTCTTCCCACACATTCCTCATGCAGAACAGCGAGCAGCGTGGTAACAGCCCCTTGCCATTTCACACATACTTGGTATTACAGCATCATAAAGCGGCAATATTTCTGCTCATGTTCTTTCCATCTTAGGAGAAAAATAAACAAAGCACTGGTTTGCTGCTGCTGCTGTAGAAAAAGTTGTATGGGTTGTTGGTTTCTTTTTTTAGTTAGGATACAAAGCAATCAATTCCCACAAACACCAAGGCACCAAGTGTTTGGTTATAAACTAAAACAAGCTTCTGATTACCTGCCTCTCCAGAGTCCCTGCAAAGAGGAGACAGCACACGTTGCCCACACAAGCTCATCTCTGTTTCTGAGGTGCCAGCCAGAGCTTCAACTGTTCTACAAGGTTCAGGAGCCTGAAACTTATGCCAAGTGCTTCACCTGGTCTGCTCTGGCACCAGCAACTGCTGCTCTGAGAGGTTTCTGCGAAGTCAAGTAGGCGAGCAACCAAATGAGACCTCTTCGCTCCCTGTCCTGCTGTTGGGACACACACCCATAGCGGAGGAACTACGAGCCCTCCCTAGCAAGGTGATCAGGGTAGTCCTTGCCAGCTGGTGCCCGACCATGAAGTATTCCCACTCCAAGCAGAGTTTCAGGCGTCAGTCCCCCTCTTTCAGTAGTACTTCTCCCATTTTGATCCTCCCTCAAAATTATCCTGATATTTCATGATAAAGAGAAAGGGATCTGGAGAAGGAATAGCAACGTTTGATCGTTAGTTCAGCTACATCAAGGGACACAGGAGCAAAGCTGGTGGGAAAAGTTGCCACCATTGGTAATTGCAGCAACTGTTAGGAAATAAGGTATGTGAGGGGAATAGAAAACAGTATTTAAACTGTCACCGTGAGAAAATAAGTGGACCATCTGGAAAAATAAATTCAACCTGACATATCAACTTCTCTTATTTTCCTCCCCAAGAGATCATATCAGAATTTCTAAAAAGAAGATTAAAAAAAGGAAAAAGAAAAGTTCATAACCAAATGAAGACAATGAGCAAAGCATTAGCAGTACCACTGTTTCATAGCTTTCCTGGTAACTTGCAGTATTTTGTGCATGCAGCAAATTTAAAGTTGTACTTCACTTTATTTTGGTGAGCAAGCTGAAGCTACTGTCTATGCTGTTAACATAAAAATGATCAGAAATTTTAACCTGCAAGTTGCTCAAGTCATCCTTCATCATGCCATTGGTTATATACTACTGAATCCAAACAGATATTTACCTACACAATAATGTAACATTAAGGATTCATAAATTTTCACACAGCCTGAGTACTTACACAGCAATAGAAGAGCTTTCCCCATATAGCTGTAGGTGAAGAGGGCTAATGTCAAATTTCTGCCATACCTCTCAGTTCTCTAGTTATTTTCTCCATACAGGCTATCTAGAGCTGAGCTGGGAAAAGAAGAGGCACCTGACAGTGCTAAAGCAGACAGAGGAGCCTGTGGCACGTTTGCAGCAATCATTCCTCCCTTGCTGTTGGAGAAAAAAGGAGTAGTATGTGAGGGGTAGATGGTTAATTAATACAGAAATTCTGGGCAGAGGTTCTTCTGGTTGTAGAAGCAAAGTAACCCTCTCTTTCTTTATGCCATCCTGTTACAGGCTCCTCCCAAAGAACTTTAGATCTTTTGACTATAGACATTACTTCTTGTCGTATACTCTTTTCAGGTTGTTTCTTTCTTTCTTTTTTTTTCGCTCCCTGCTGAATTATTTTGGTTTTCATGAGCATCTATCAAATCAATATGATGTCTGTTACAATATCTTGTCAGACTTTTAGGTGGAAAGCAGTATCCTTGTAAGCTGTACAGACAGACTTTCTTACAAATAGGAGCTGTGTAGCAGGCAGTGATGGTGTCACACTAAAGAAACCTCACTTGACAGTTTTTACACTAATAAAGTCAAATTACTTCAGCTGTTAATTTCTAGTCCTGTCCTTTCAAGTTTCTTCTCTTATACTGGGAAATGTGAAGTAACCATATCTGACACATGAACATCTTCCTTTGCAACTTCTGTCATCCTGACAAAGTCTGCATCTGCTTCCACAACCATCTCATGAAAACTTCCACTTCCCTTCATTTGTATGCACCTCTTTCAAGATCACCTGCCATTAACTAAAACTAAAACAATTCAGAACACAGGCAGATGAAATTCAGTCTTCATTCAGAAGATGGATAAGCAAAGACTACCTCTATCAATTTTTGTCTGCTCCAATTTCTGTAACTGGTACATTGTCTAATGTCTGGTAACTACAAAAGATGGAAACACAGTAATTGAGTTGCTCCTTCGAGTTAAAACCAAAACCCCACACTTCTCATGACAGCAACTTTTATAGCTTACAATCAACTAGTCAACTAATTTGCAGTAACTACTGCATGCAAAGCAGTCTACTTTCCCATGTAAGTTCACAGGCTCACTCAGTTAAGCCCTGCATTGCTATCACCTGCTAACATACACCACAGTAGTAGGTTAGTAGAATTCAAGTTAGTAGGTCACAGCAGGTTAGCAGTAGGTTAACATCAGCTTAACAGCCAGAGTTATTTTATTTCTTTGTGCAGCAAGAACCAATGCGTATGTCTGTTCGGTAAAGCAGCACTACTGTTCACCAGGCTCTTGCAGAGATCTATCAGCACAAGCGCACCACCTCTTAGACCAAAAACTAGTAGCCTAAGAAAGTCTTATCAGCACCAAGGTTATTCTTTAGAAATCAATGCATTTGGTTCATTTGGGGAAATACAAGGTTTTATTAACCATAGTGATAACATGGAGGTGTTGATGACTCAGTAGACAGAACTCCAGTTTTCCTAAAAACCACCCCCCCCCCCGCCCCCCCCCCCAAAGAAAACAACTATCAATCTCTGTTCTACCAGCACAGTCCCCGGCAGTAGCCCATCACACTGCAGCTAGTGTGGACTAACTAAAATGTATTGCTGTCACATAATAGGAATGCTTCTAGTGTTCTGGTATTTCTAATATATCTAGCTAACAGAAAAGATCAGTGCAAATACTCTATAACCAATTTACTTACTGCTGCTTTAATAAACAGAAATAAATGAAAGTCAAATTACTTCCTCCTTTACATTAGAACATTTCAATAGTTGTTCTAAACACAAGTTTGGTGTACAAATCCTTATCAGCTCTTACTATTTTACACTCCTACACTGTTTTGACATATAAAAACTAGAGGATAATGACGTGTCTGTTGGCAAATTGAAGTGCTGAATCACTGTTGTTTAGTGTAAGTGGTTCAGCTGTGCTTGATAGGGATTTTTTTTTTTCAATATTAAAGAATAGCTAGGAATCAAAGTTCTAGATTATCATTCACTGAGATCTGAAATGGTCTGCTCTTCATGCTCTATACAGGCACAGTTAATATTCTCTCATCACAGCTGCTGGGAGGGAAACCAGGATCATCTCCTGAAATCTCTGCAAGAGCTCTCTTTTTCCAGCAGACTTAAGTTAACTGGACGTGATAAATGACTAAAGCAAGAGAGAATTTCCTGTACAACCTAGGTCCATGTAAGACATCTCTGCAAGCAGGAAGATTTACAGACAGATATCCTCCAAAACACATTTGAAAGTTATAAACGTGAATGTTAGCAGAAACATATCGAGCTGTGATACTCATACATGTGACATTTGCTGAGAATCACTCAAACTTTACTGTAGTATTTGGAGAGCAACAAACTCAAGTAGGTTCTTTATACATCTTCATCCAAGGGGACTTTAACAAAATAGTTATGAACAAATACTCAAAATAATTTTGCTGCTAATGGAGAAAGGAAAAAGCCATTTTTATTTGGCTTCTGTGGACAAATCTTGTTGACAGTACGGAAGCAAGAAAGTGTACACTTTGATGTTAATGGCTTTTGGCCAAGGTAGGTAGGTTTCTGACAAGGATACAACCAGCTGCTGGAGCTCCCATCCGCATCAGAAAACCCACCAACACTCCTGCTAGTTCAGCTGAATGAGTGAAAGGAGATAAGCAATTTGTCTGAAGCTTACATTCTCTCCTGAATGTAAGACAGCTAGATACAATGGGGACGGACACAAAGAATACTGAACAAGCTATATGACAATAACGAAGCAGTATTTGTCAATGGCTTATCGTGTCCAAATTCAGAAATCTTTCAGATAATTTAGAATGAAACAAATCAGGTCTAAACACAAAGTTGCACACTGCTCTTGGTTTTGGCACTAATTCTAGCACCCGCAACCAGACAAAGCCACAGGTGTCCTGTAAAGACCTGAGCCAATTTACTCAACAAAAATCTGATGGTGACTTCAGTTTACAGCTGAAGTTCTCACATACATGCAACACTTGCAAGTACATTTCTGTCACAGCAGAATTTACAGCTGCTTTATGAATAACAATGTTACTGATAAGTTTTACCAATTTCCAACTGAAAACTTACTCTTTACATACCCTCTACAATATACCTTGCTCTTAGTTTTATCGGAGAACCAGGTAAGTTTGTAGATGTGTCTTGTGTCTGAAACAAAGCACTGAGAATATTTGTCACTTTTAGAAATGAAAATTACACACGTTCCAAGGGACTGCAAGTCACGTCTTACTAAAACACTGTAAAAACCTTAAATTATAGCATTTAGAAGGCTGCAC